TATATCGCGCTAGGGGAAGCAAGCCACTGCCTTTCTGCGTTTGCAAAATTTCAAAAATGCTTATGGTTTCATTGCAACAAATATTTAAAAAAGGCCATTTTTAGGGTTTTGGGGGGGTATAACTTCTAGAGGGGGGGGAGATAGGTAAAAATTTTGTTCTACGGAAATAAGTTTCTAGTAAAGATCTATGTACGTATGAAATTTCAGCTTTCTATCTTAAAGGGTGTAGAAGTTTTGTAAACAAAAAAAGTGTCCACGGACGGACGGACGGACGGACGGACGGACAGAGTGAAACTAATAAGCACTTTTTTCAAAAAATTTTTTGGAAAAGTGCTAAAAACATCAATACAAATTCAAATAAAATAGCAATATGAATAGCAATGGAATGTCAGCAAAGTTTCGATGCTGATAATGTATAATTTTTAAAAAAACAAACATATGCATCGCAATGTAATATGCACAAAACCACGTTGTTGTTGATGAACAAGCTGAAACAAGAAAGCTTTTGTAACAAAAATCAAATTGTAAAAAAAGAATCACAAAATGAACAGAAAAAAAACCTGAATAAAAAATGTAGTATTTAAAAGTAAGTTAGATTAGTTATGATTTTTTTAAATTAAACTGAAAGTGTACCTATATTAAGAAAACGTAAATTATGAAAATATTTAAAGCAAAAACTTCTTTTCAATGTAATTCTTGCATTAAGATATAAGAGATATTTTTTTTTTTATTTTGCAGGCGGTAAGAGGTAGTCGATAACGTTAGCCTTTAACATTTATAAAAAAAAGATGATAATATCTGCATGCATTATGTTTGTTTTTTTTAATACAAAAATAATGAACCTGAAAATATTGCTGTAAATTTTATAAAAAAAAGACAAATTTTTCATTTTTTAAGTTTTTTATTGCATTAAAATATGAATTAGTGATTATTATTTAATTTTAAGGTTAAAAAAAATGTATTTTATTCTTTTTTAGATTTTACCTTAAAATATTACAAAATTAAAATCAGCTTTCTATTCCTCTTCAAAGAATTTCAAAATTGGTGTTTGAAATTCCGTATCGTCTCGCCCCGTCATGACCATTTTTAACTTAGGAGATATGGTGTAATCCGTTATTTTCTTGACAGTAATAAATGCAGAGTATCTGCTCGGTAAAAAATATTGGTGGGTGTCTGTTTCGAGTAGAACTTTCTTCCCATATTTAGTTTTAATAACAACGGCTTTTGTTATACTGTTAACCTTGTGAAGTTCCAAGTCCTCGCTTTTCATCAAAGCTTGTATGATGACACATTTGACGCTTCTTTTAACAATTCGTTGAAATTCTAGTTTTGAAAAGAAAATAAAAGTTAGATTTTTCTATAATGTATTAAAAATACAAATAAAATTTTTTGGATTAGAATAACTTACCATTTCAGAAAAATCGGAATTAATTTTTTTTTTATCGAACGCTCTTAAGTGTTAAAAGTGTTTTATGCTTATTCCTTAGAACAGATGTCTTTTTATACTACAAAGGTGCTTCAAGATGCAAAAAAACTGGAAATGGTTAATTATTTTATGCAACATTAAAATTTATGGTGTGTTTTTGTAATACGAATAAAAAATTTTAAATGTTATAAATTATGTGTATTCTAATCGATTTGTTTAATTTACATTTGTGATTTCCCTCCTTAAAAAAATAATTTTTTCTTAAATGGAATTAATATACCCCAATTAAGTTAAGAAAAATGTTTGGTATAAAAGCAGTAGGATTTTTGTCTTTTAAATATCAGTATTATTTTGATTTTACGAAGTCAACTAATTTTGGTAGAATACTACAAAAGACAACCTAAGTTTAAAGTTCAGCTGAGTCTGGCTGAACGGTATTCTAATTAAAAAAGTTGATTAAACGTTACTTTTTCTTATTAAAAAAGTTGCTTGAACGGTCTTGTTAAAAAAGTGTTCAGTAATTTTTAAATTATTATTTTATTTCAAATTATTACTGAAGTTTTAAAGAAATAAAATTTGTGAGACAAATTATTTGTGCTTTTTTTTAAAAAAAAATGTTTGATGAACTAACTCCAGAGCAAAAAAAAATACTTTTGCAAGCCTGGAAAGAGTTAGATGAATGTTTTAAAAGAAACAATCATGATATAAAACAGCTTCCTCACACGGATGAGGAAAGAAAAAATTACTTTAAAGATTTTACGGAAGAAGAATGGAAAGCTTTTTCCGAACTAAAAATAAGTGATAAAAATGAATAAACCGAAGTAAAAAAAGAAAACAAAATATAAAAAAAGTACAAAAACAGAAAAAAATAAGAAAAATAAAAAAAATAAAGTTAAAAAAAGAAGGAATAAAAAAAGAAAATAAAAATAAAAATTTATATTTAATTTTCACGCAGAAAAAAAGGATTTCCAGTACACAAAAGGTGATTTTTGTAAAAATATATTGAATTGTTTATTAATATTAAAAATCTTTATTAAAAATAAAGTATAATAGTATTTTGTTACAATATACCTAGTACTTCAAAAAATAAAATAATGTTTAGTGCACATAAGATTGATGTGAAATTTTTTTTTTCCACTTTTCCCTGAAATTACCAAATTCTTAAATATAAAAGTAAAAACCAAATTTTGAAATATCTTAGTTTAAAATTTTACTTTTTTTTAGAAAAAAATAAATTACAAAACAGACAAATTAAAAAAATGGATCCGGTAAATAAATTAATTTTAAAAAACTTACATTTTCTGTATTAATTAAATTTTTTTATTTTAGATAAATTTAATAGAAACATTTTTTATTAAATTTTCCGAGTTTGTGACCGATTTCACAAACAATTTTATTCTAAGGAACAGAAATGCTGAGCAGCCTGCGTCCAACCATTTGGAAGAAGAGGTCGGGGAAAACATTGATTCAATTTCGGAAGCAGAAAACATTCCTCAAAATAATTTGGAAAACGAAATTATACAAAAAGGAGAAGGTTCAAATTTGGTAAACGTTATACACCAAATAGAAAAGTTCAATAAAAAATTTGGTGTAATAACTAAGGAAATAACTTTTAAATTTAAGGACTTTGACGATGAAATGGAATCTTTGTTTGACCACTTGAATAAGTGTTTCAAAAAATTAATTATGATTGTAACACAAGGTCGTGACAAACAGGATTTAATTGGACTCAAAATAGCTATTCCAAGCATGGAAAATACAAAACCCATCGGTTTGAGTTTTAAAAAAATTGAAACTTTAGATTCCAATTCCATTTTAGATTTGTTTTCATCGGTTTCCCAATCAAATACCAATTACATGATTACTGATTTATTAGAAATATCCGCTACAATTGTGCAAGTACCATCAGGAAAGGGGCGTGTTAAAATATCATTTTTATCAGATACTGAAATTTTAGAAAAAAAAGGAAGAAGTGTTGTTGATAAAGGGAAAACTAATGATAATACATGTTTACCGCGATCTATATGGGTTGGTAAGATTCTAGCTGATCAAGTTAGTGATACAATCAAAAAAAAATATTTAAGAAAAAATTCGAAAATACTAAACTGTAAAGTAAAAATGTTATGTAATAAAGCCAAAGTAGATATTAATGAAAAAAATGAGTGCGACATTGGGGATATTTTTAAATTTCAGAAATATTTAAAAAATTATAATATATTTTTATACAAAAATAAAAAAGATTTCAACGAAAAAATTATTTTTCGCAATACTAACCTCAAAAGAATAAATTTGTTTTATTTAGAAAATATGAAGCATTTTATAACTATAAAAAATGTTTGTAAATTTTTTAGCAAACAATACGAATGTAAATTTTGTTTCACATTGTATGACAACAGCCACATTTGTCCACTAGAATGTAAATATTGCTTAAGAAATCCTCCTTGCGATTTTGTAAATGACAATTTTATAAAGTGTATGGATTGCAACCGTCGTTTTAGAGGTCAAATATGTTTTGCAAACCACAAAAAATTAAATTCCTATAAAAACTTTTCTGTATGTTCGCAAATACAAATTTGTCAGAAATGTTTTAAATATTTTGATTTGCAAATACGAAAACATATCTGCGATGAAAAATATTGTTCAACATGTGGAAAATTTGTTGAAAAAGATCACTTGTGTTACATACAAAAATATAAAAAAAATCCTCCTAAACATTTCTTTATAGTTTTTTTCGATTTAGAATGTACACAAGAAACAAAAAAAAGACCGCATTTTTACATGAACCTAATTTATGTGCTGCACACTTAGTTTGCAATTTATGTTGGAAGGAAAATGAAAGTAATTTTGAATGCATGAAATGTAAAAAACGGATATACATTTTTGAAAATTGTGCTAAAGAAACATGCATAACAAAATTTGTAAATTTTCTCTTAAAAATTACTACAGATCAATCAAGAAAAATTTGTTGTATAGCACATAATTTCAAAAGTTATGATGGGCAATTTATTGTAAGTGAACTTTTACAAAGAAATAAGCCAGTGGTACCGATTATGGGAGGAAATAAAATTTTGAAAGTAACTTTTAATCACAATATTATTTTTATAGATTCCCTTAATTTCTTACCAATACCTTTGTCCAAATTTACTTCAGCTTTTGGTCTTGATAAAAATGAGGTTAAAGGTTATTATCCTTATTTATTTAACACGAAAGCAAACTATAATTATGTTGGAGAAATTCCAAGCACTGAAATGTTTGCTTTGAATAATTTTAACTCACATGAGCTAGAAAAATTTTATTTATGGTACAACAACTTGAAGAAATCAAATTATGTTTACAATAACAGAGAAGAGTTAATAAAATATTGCATCCAAGATGTAAATGTATTACGTCAGGGATGCTTAAAATTTATGAATGATTACCTTCAATTATTGAATATTAACCCTTTCTTTGAAACCTTTACTTTAGCATAAGCTTGTTTGACTGCATACCAAAAACATTTTCTAAAAGAAAACACCTTAGGTGTAACTCCCATTAACAATTATAGTAAAAAAAAAATCAATCTTTAATTTGCCTAATGTGGCTTGAATTCAAAAATCAAGCTAGCTGTGGTAAAATTAAATATGAATATGATTTACCAGATTGCAACTTTACAGTAGACGGCTTTAATCCAAACACAAATACGGTTTATGAATTTTTAGGATGTTTTTACCATGGATGCGAAGACTGTTTCTTCGATAGAAATTTAGTTGTCCATGGGTATAAAATGCAGGCTAGGTTTGAAAATGTTATGTGCAAAATAGCAGTTTTAAAACAAAGTGGATATAATGTGTGCTGTGAATGGGAATGTAAATTTAAACAATTTTTAGAAATCAATCCAAAAATAAAAATTGATTTAAAAAATACTTCTTTGATTTTACTCAACTCAATTGATGCTCGAGGTGCTATTTTTGGAGGTCGCACCGAAGTATTTAAATTATACTATAAAATCCAAGCAAATGAAAAAATTTGCTACTATGACTTCACTTCCCTCTACCCATATGTAAACAAAAATTGTAAATATCCAATAGGACATCCTAAAATTTATAATTCTCAAGAATGTTTACAATTTGAAAATGATATCAGTAAAATAGACGGTTTAATTAAATGTGCGGTTCTACCACCGCAAAACTTATGGCTGCCAATCTTACCAATCCGCGCTAACAACAAAATGTTGATGGTTTTATGTCGCTCTTGCGCGGAAATGGAAAATGTGTTGTATAAATGTACTCACAACGATAAAGAAAGAATGCTTTTTGGCACATGGACGGATATGGAATTAAAATTAAGTGTGAAATACGGGTACACAATAATAGAAATACATGAAATTTGGCATTATGATTGCGAAACTTATGATTCAATATCTAAAACAGGTGGACTTTTTACTGACTACATGAATTATTTTATAAAATACAAGACTGAGGGTTCTGGTTATCCAACTGGTATACAAACTAAATCTGAACAAGACGCATACATAAAGGATTTTTTTGAAAATGAAGGTGTGATGTTAGATAAATCAAAAATTGCTCTCAATCCTTCACTACGAAATCTGGCGAAACTAAAATTAAATTCATTTTGGGGAAAACTAATACAACGAAATGACCGTCATTCAACAACTGTTGTACAAACCATCACACAATTTCATAATTTAATACATTCAAGCGGTATATCAGTATCGGACATATTTACTGCCAGCGAGCACCAGGTGTGGATCAACTGGAAATACAATTATCCTGAATTGAATCCCAATCTCAAAAATCAATGTTTAATAGTTGGAGCTTTTACGACAGCGCATGCTCGATGCTTATTGTATAATGAAATAACCAAAATTGGAAAAAATCTTTTGTATTGCGATACGGATTCTATGATTTTTGTTCAGCATACTGATAATGAGTATGACTTAAAGACAGGTTGTCAAATGTCTACAAATACATTTTTGCGCGATTACTAACAATTTTTTTATTGTTACAGGTACTTTAATTGGAGATTTAACTAATGAATTTACATCATATGGAAAGAATGTTTACGGCACAGAATTTGTATCAACAGGACCCAAAAGTTATTCATATCGTTATTATAACCCGGATACTGACAAATACGGAGAAGTTGTTAAATGTAAAGGAATAACAAGTAATAAAAATGGAACATCACTAAATTTTGAGCACATGAAACAAATAGTTACCGATCCTTTTGGAAGCAATAATTTGTATTTCGTAACACCAAACAAAATTAAGCGTAAGAAACATTTTCACGTTACTTCAGAAGATGAAAAGAAAAAATTTGGCTTTACATTTACGAAACGTGCTTGCCGTGATAATTTTGAAACAATTCCTTATGGTTTCTTAAACAGTTAAAAAAAGGTAGGTACACATAAAAATTTTGTATATAAATTCGTGAGTTTAAAATAATAAAACTTCACTTTTATTTTTACATGTACCGAAGAAACATGGCACAAAATGTAATAATAGCAGATCTACAATTTATAGTCGGAAGTAATAATGAACTTTACCTAAAAGAAATGGCAACGATTGATACCAACTCAATTATCTCAAAATTATACCACTTTAAACCTCCGTATCGTCAGGAAAAACTAGATTCAGCAGCAAGGGGGCAAAACGCATACAACCTAAGACATGTCAACGGTTTGAATTGGATTGATGGTAATATTAATTACAGTGAAATTTCTACAATCATGGGAAGTTTTTCGTCTTACGATAAAGTTTATGTAAAAGGAGTTCAAAAGAAAACGTTTTTGGAAAAATATTTGCTACCCCAGGTTATTAATTTGGATGATGAAATACCACCTTTAGATAAATTAAAAAATTATGAATCATTCTGTGTAATTCATTTGAAATCTGACACTCATAAAAAACGTTGTGCTGTAAAAAATTGCATAAATATCTTAATGTATTTAATAAAAACAAATGTAATTTGATTTAAAAAAAATGTTTTTTTATTTTGGTATTATATTAATATTACATGTTATGGAATCATTACATAAATCCAAATTATATAAGTAACAAAATATTTGTTCTGCCATAAAGATTGGCACCTTATAGAATAGTCTGCTATAATTACATTGATAAGATGAAAACTGCATTGGTATGTAAAAATCTTCCTGTGATAGTTTAATAACTCCTTTTTCTTTACATTTTGTAAAGTATTTATGAATGTATTCTGCAATAGTATCACTAGCATTGTTATTGTATGACATTACAGCTTGTATGAAATCCAACATTTCGTTCAATTTCCAATACTCTTCTTGTCGAGTATCAAAAGTAATTTTATCTTGTTGATTGAATTCCAAAATGTTGCAAAAAGGTTCACTTTGTTGCTGATTTTCGTTAGTGATCCGAGCAGATTCCAACATTTTGGCTTTTTTGTAAAATGAGTGCCAATCATCATAGAGGACATGGACAGATCTTTTGCCATTTCGATGAAATATTATTTTTGACTGGAAAGTGTCGCAGTCGAATCCAATAACTATCTTACATGTTTGTTTCGTGTTTAGAAAATATATGTAAGAAAGTAACAAATTTTCTTTTTCCGGTAATATTTTCTTTTCTTTTTTTGTTGACATTTTTGATGGAGATGTTTTTCTTTTTAACGGCATTGTAGAATCAGAAGCGCTAAAACTGAATAATTATTTCCAAGCACAGAGCTTTGTATTTATACTCTTGACGTAAAACTTTAGTGCTGTTGTGAAATCGGTTTCTGGCATATTTGTAAATAGTTCTTTGTTTGCCTTTGACGTCCGAAAATTTTTGAAAACAATTTCACAACCGTTTTGTCATTAAAGTTGAGATTGTTGCTATTGAATATATCTAAAAACGTTGACATGCTATGACCTTTACATCTGTACCACAAATATACGCAGCAATATTGTCCACAAACTTCTGAAAAGTCGCCTTGTAATCTTTTGTAATTCCAGACAGTATATGAATTCTTTGAAATTCTTCTTAGAAAATGTTGTAGTTCTTTATAGGAAGGTGCTTGACCATACGAATCAAAATACTCGACAAAACCATTTGTGGGTATAAAGATACATACCCAACGTTTACCTGGCTTAGTATGAACATCTGTATTTACTACTATAATTGCGGGTTTTTGCACATGTTTAGGAAGCTTATCAAGAGGAAAAACTCCTTTAAAAAACTTTTTTGTTTGCTGATTGCATGACAATACATTTTTAATTTGAAGAGAATCCATAAGAGTTATTTAGTTGTCTTCTCCAAAAGAAGTAAAATCATAAATTATTGTGTTTCCTTTTAAATAGTGTTGTAGAAAATCCTTGTTAATACGGCCATTCGTTAAAATAATGTCAAATTTTTCCATTAATGCGGCAAGTTCCTTATCTGCTTGGTTATTATATATGTTTCCAAATTTATAGCCTTCAGTAGCACTTGGTTTAAGGGCTTTTGTGGGAAAATTGTATTGTATTTCTTTAGCGAATACTTTACAATTTTCTTTTATTCCTACTAGCGTAACATTTTTAACAAAGACAAAATCTTTATCATCGGAACAAAATGTTAAATCAATGAGTGCATAAGCTTGTTTAGACATGTTTGCTATGGAGAGTATAATACTTGATTGTTTCATAATAAGTAAATGTTGAGCTTTTTATAGATTTGCATACACGTTCCGATTTTTATCTATTTGTACGTTCGCATCAAATTCCCCATAAACTAGAGCTGTAAGTGTTGATGAAGTTGGTTTCGATAATCTTGCCTCAATTCGTACAGTTCCTTGATTAAGTAAACCTTGACATACTTCATTACCTGATGCATCTGGGGTTAAATCAAAAGCCAATAAAAAGAAACCATTTGTAAACATAGATTTCGTTATTTGATGACCTCTGTCGTTATGATAAATTCCTGTTCCAGAGAATAATGTATGGTAAGCTCTTGTGCTGCAGTTATTATCGTCAGAAAAACTTGTTTCTATTGCTGCATTTGGTACTTGAACACCATTAACATAAAGCATGAATTGTGAAATATCAAAATGCTTAAAATTGTATGGATTTTTTGATCGTTTCCCGGAATACCCCGAATTTTCGGTCATGCAAAAGATAATTGTGTTTGGTAATTGACCAATGAAAACATTGTCTAGTGAAATCGATGAGCTGTTGCTTGGAATTGTGAAATTTTTGACTTCTACTCTTTTATAATGATATTTAGCATTTGCTTTTTCCAAAACTGCATTATGGGCTAGTAATACGCTAGGATTTATAGTTACATGTCTCATAAATAAATTGGCTTCTACAATTTTTAGTTGCGATTCATCCGAGTCGTCCGCAAATAAGAAAAAATCTGGTTTTTCTACAATATTACTGTTATGATATAGTTTTTGACGTTCCTTTGAACCATTATTGTCAGATCTAGCTATATTCGGTTTATCTAAAATCCATCCAGCGCATTCCAAATGAGTTGTTGCAGCATCAGTTCCATAATTTAACAATGATTCAATATAAGCTCTATAATGGTAATTTCCATCTGACGGAGTGATATTTTTACCATTGAGTTGTACATTGCACTGCTTAATTATAGAATGTAATAATTATTCACTACACTGGGTTGTTGAAGGATTTTTCCATCTGCACCCTTATCATCATGCCACGGTGTTCCATCTTTTTTTAAAATTTGAACTTTCAGTTTTAGATATGTTAAAGACAAATCCCTGTATGTGTCACCATGACCTAATGAAACTAATTCTATTGTTGAGGGACTATCCAGAGAAGCAATAGGATTGTATGAAACCTCTTCAGATTTTAGAATGCTTGCTTGTATTGGTGGACTTGTAAATAAATCTAGTTCTGATTTCATACATTCGTTCATTTTATATTTTAATTAAATATATCTCGTTTTTCTCGTTTTTGAATTTTTTTCCTTTGTTTACTCTTAGCTTTGCGTTTCTTTTGATTTGAATGAGTTAATGTAGTTGAGTGAGTTCTTTTTATAGCTCTTCTTCTTCTTATACCGCTGCCATACATTTCATTTAGTTTGTTTACAGCTCGACGTCTTATATTTTTAATTCTTCTTTCCCTCTATCTTGCAATACTTCTTTTGGATTTGCTCCGGAAATAATATTAGATAATGCATTAATGCCGGTGTCTAAAGATTCTTTTTTCACTAAATTCAAACCGGATGATATAACTGGTTTTAAATATTTAAACAATCCTCCAAAGAAACTTCCAAGTCCTCGTCCTCTTTGATATTGCACACTTGAGTGAACTAAAGGTCCAATGTCGTCAGTACCCCTACCACTTTGTACTAAATAATACTTGTAATATGAACGGTTCATCATATAAGAATAAATAACATGAGCTTGTTGACTTATTTATATCTTTTGAAGTGTAATACAATTTTGGTAGGCATGTTGCTTCTAGAAAAATTTAAATTATATCCGTATTTGTCACATAGCAAAATTGAAATGCTTTCAAAACTGTCTTTTTCAATATTACAATACTGAACTTGGTCAAAGTGTGTTACGAAATCTATAAATGGATTTGTTGTATTAATAGTTCTCATACATCTTGCCATTGTATCACCAATATATTGCGGTTCTATTATATCCGTATAAACAAACACCATATCAGTTTTAGTTTCTGGAGATTTTACTAACATATTTGTTATAAAATAAATTTTGATTTATATTTTTTAAGTTCTTTTTGTACAGCAAGTACTTGTTGAAGACATGTTTTCAATAAAAATTTTACTGTATACCCAGTGCCAACAAGTATTCGTATTTCAGCCGAAGGCCTTTCAATGCATAATTTTATGTATTCTGTATGTGTAGTATCTATCTTAAATTTGTTATCCAAAACATAATTAGCATCATTTGAAATGAAATTATAGATTTCCCATATTAATTGTTGTTCCACTTCTTTTCTTGTGTATCCCGGATTTGGTGAAATATTTTGAAACAGTGTGGGTAATAAAAGCGTTTTCCAATCGCATCGCAATTCGTTTTCATTATAAGAAATATAGGTTTTTCCAATACCGATGGAGTTTTTTTCCGTTGTTCCAATAAATATCACAGCAGCCTTTGCGTAAACTTCTCCAAATATGTTTGGAATAAAATTGTTCATAAAAAGTGCACAAATTCCTACTTTCCACTTATTTTTCTCTAAATTCAAATGTTTTAGTAATTTATTTGTAAATTTTGATAAAGTATTTTCGGGATAATATTTAATTGATGCGTCACTCAACAACGTTATATAAAAATCTTCCCCATTAGGTTCTATTTGAAGCGTGTCCATTGTTGCGTAGATACACTAGAGGCAGACTTTGCTTTTGTTCTTTTTCGAACAGGAAAATTTAGTTGTAATTGTTTATCACCTTCTCTTGTGGATGAT